CTTATATCTGCCATGTGCAAGTCATGTGCAACGTCACATTTGCCATGTGAATTAGGACCCTGTGCCTTTCAAAATCCAAGCAGCTCCCGCTGCAAAAGGCAGGCAGGGATGCATCTGTATCTCTAAGCTCAGTGTTTGGAAAAGCTGAGCTGTTAGGAACAGATGGAATCCGCTATGGATGGTGAAGGGTTAGCTCCAAGGTTGTAGACTGCTGCCTGAGGCTCTGCGTGGCAGAACTTCATCTGCTCAGCAGTGAAGACCTTGGTTACCTCAGGCTCCTTCTAAAGTCAATGGGAAGAGTTGGTCCCTTAAAGCATGATTCAGACTTCCGCTGCCAAGGTGTCAGAGCAGCTGAGATGGGATGAGAAAGGGCAGGATGAACATGCACAGACCTAGCTTGCTGTCAGAGGGGCTGGATGGCAGCTTACCCACTGATGCAAGGACTACAGAGTGCACCTCTTAATGCAAGGATGGGTTATCTTCATCACTGTCTGGACTCTACACAAGGGCACAAAAGCATGTATTACCTTTACAACTGCACACAAGCCGTCTGTTCCTGGCACAGTGCTTCTACACCTCTAAGAGCTCAGCACTGCAGCACGAACCAAGACTTAACATCTTTAAGCTTTAGTAGTAATCACAGGATTATTGCTCCCATGGCATGCAAATAATGCTCCTTTCTTTTCCTCATCTTGTAGCTGCCATGTAATTTAGCAAACTAATTTTTAGGGCTGGCAATGTCTTTTATTGTCTGTGTGTGTTGGCTGCCTCTGTCTCTGTCATGGCTAGCTCTCTCTGTCAGATCTCAGAGCACTTTGCAAAGGACTCTGGAGTATTTTGTCCAATTTTCTGGTGAGGGAAACTGAGGCGTGAATAAAAGAATTGCTTTGTCCTCAAGCTAGCAAGAGCAGAGGGACAAAGACACGGAGTCCAATTAGCCTATATATTACAGTAGGTTTGAACAACCTGGTCTAGTGGACAGTGTCCTTGACTATGGCAGGGAGGTTGGAACTAGATGATCTTTAAGGCCCCTTCCAAATCAAGCAATTCTGACTCTATGAGTCTGTGAAAAAGAAAGCAACAGCAGAAGCATTCCATAGGAGTGCAAACTGTAAGAAAAAACAACCGGCAAAATAGAGAAGGCGATGCTGAGAATATTCATGCCTCGCTCCATCACCTTTTCACCAGGGCAGCAGTATAGCCCCTGCAGCAGTGATTCACAGTGACTGCAAATCAGAGGTCCAGGGTCCTCTGTCTGACTTCATAAACCAACTGTGTCAGTAACTGCATTCAGTAGCTTCAGTGGGAACACCCCCAGGTATACTAACAAACCCAGTGATGCTCCTACAGTGACAACAGTGACAGTGCAGGGATTTTTTCCTCTCCGCCCTGATTTGGTTGGTCTGGTTTCATTTTGTGTTGGGGGTTTTGTTCATTTTATTCTGGAGGGAAAGTTTCAAAGCTCCTGCTGAGGATTTCCTTTGGGCTTAGCTGGCTGATCTTTCCGTGCAGGCTCCTGCACCTCAGCAGCAGTGAGATACAGCTCTGGTGCTGTACGGTCAAGGTGAATGCATGCGGACCGATCCCTGCCGGTCCTCTTGGTGGGAAAGGTGGAGAGAGGTATCCCGAGGATGGGGGAGAAGGACAGCAGCAGCAAATCAGGAGTGGAGGCATTAAGCGAAAGAGGCAGAAACCACTAGGAAAAGCAGAGATGAAGAGCCCTGGGAGAGCTGTGAGTACGTGTGGGGGAGAGCTGCGGGCTGGAGCAGCGCTGCGCAGGGGCTCAGGGCACGATGGATATCAGGGTCTGACATGCGCTGGTTGATCAACGTGGGGGCCCCTGTGTCGAAGGGGCCTGAACGGTGGCGAGAGGAGGGATCTGTGTGCGTGTGTGGGCTGGGTGAAGGTGCTGGCAGGGCAGCTGCCCCCGCTGCCTGCCACCCACTGCTGTTATTCATCCTGCACCTTCGCTCCACGCCTCCCCAACGAGCAAGCGCCAACGAGCATGGAACCGCTTTAACCCTTCTCTTAGCTAAGCACAGGGAAACTTGGCAAGTTTTGGCGCTGAGGCTTGAGCCAAAGCAGTTTCAGCCAGGAGGGGATGAGGTCACAGGGGGAAGGAGCAGGGAAATAAGCTGCTGTCATTGCTTTTGGCAGCGCTGCATTATGGTCTCTGGGGGTTTCTTTACATCCTGCAGTGTGACGTGATTACTAGCATCAGTGGGAGCCTTTCCTTTGCCTTCCTATAGCTGTGGATTCGGCTTCAAAGCAACCTGATTGCGGCTACCTCCTTGTGCTGGGCTGCAGCTGGGTTAGGGGTGAGCTGCCACTGGCATTTCCATGAGGCTGAGCATCCTCCAGTACTGTCCATGAACAGGTACCCAGTGAGGAATAAGAACAGGGAAAACACACACGGATTCCCCCCTACAGATCTCTTCTACCCTCAAATATCTTTCTCACTATTTGACTGTTTTAGCTCAGGGGATTTCCTCACCTGATTGGTTTATTTGTTCAGCAGCCCATAATAAAACTACTCCAAATGCTCATCCTCCTTGTGTCAAGCATTTCTAGACTGCCTGAGGTAATGATGCTGGTGGCTGACCACCAAGGAGAGGTGATGGGAAACACCAGGTCCTCTGTAGGGACTGTTGTAGCAAACACAACTGGTCTGTCCTGCTCAATGGGACTAAGGCACGATCTAAAAACCTCTTCCTCTCTCTGCCCTAACAGAAATAGATCTAATATGTCCAAAACACCTCCTGAGAATGATTTCTGCTCCCTGCTATTTCCTGAACTGTGCCTGGGAGGACACAGCTTGGCCCATTTAAGTGCTATGGAAGGGCACTGAGCAATGCTCAAGCTCAGGCCTTATTTAGATTTCCAGCACACTTGTTAAACCACGAACTCAGAATCAGGTCAGAATCTTGTTGTCAGGACTGCTTGAACTCTGTGCCACCCTACTGCTCCCTGACTCATGACTAATGAGCCTGGAATCTGATTTTCTTCTGCCCTTGGTGCCCAAGGCTGCATTTCTCTGCTGTGGTAGATGAGGTCAGAGCAGTTCAGCACAGGCAGTGTGTAAACAGTTCTTAAACCTGAGGGCAATATCTGGTATGTGCATATACACAATGAACTGAGGTCTGTTTTCATAACAAAATGAAGTCCAAGACATGCATCAAATTTGGTATCATTTAATCCTGCATATGGACCATGCAGGGGGCTCTGATATACCCTTATCCAGTCTGGGGACAAGGAAGCTCATGCCTAATTTAGATGCAGGCATAGACAGTAGGAGTTAAGAGATGTTTTCTATTTGGTGCATCCTTGAGGTAGAGGATCCTACCTGAGTGCATCATCAGATCTGCAAAGGGCACTACTGAAGAAGGTAGATTTTGGTTGGATATCAGGAAGAAGCTCTTCCCTGTGAAGGTGCCCAGAGAAGCTGTTGCTGCCCCATCCCTGGCAGTGTTCAAGGCCAGATTGGAAGGGGCTTGGAGCACCCTGCTCTAGTGGAAGGTGTCCCTGCCCATGACAGGGGTTGGAACTGGATGAGCTTTAAGGTCCCTTCCAGGCCCTTCCAACACAAACCATTCTATGATTCAGTGGGTGAGCAACTGTTATACATACTGTTGTCCTGACTAAGCAGAAGGACAATGCATGTTCTGTTCCTACCTGTTAGTTGGTGGTGGCTGATAAAATCATTTGACCAGAGGGACCCATGCTATTTTATCAAGGCTTAAGCACATCAAGATGTCTTTGAGTTACACACAAGTCATTATTCACATCCCGATCAGGGAAGTCATCTCCCTGCAGGGAGATACAAGGAAGTGCTGCAGGATCTGATAAGGTTATGTCCAGAATTTAAAGAGCATCACCAGAATAAAAGGGAAAAAGAATATGTCTCTGCCCTGTTATGAATAAGAGACCGGATGATTACTGGGGTTGATCTTTGAGAAATCAATAGTCAAAGCTTCTCTACTTTTCACTTCTTTCTTTGGACAACCGGTAATTCAGGTCTTGTCTCTGCTGTTTGCCTAAAGGGCTCCACAGAGCAGGAATTAATCAGAACAGGAAGGGGAACCAAACACAAAACACAGTTACTCAGTTGCACAACTCTTTGGCATGCCTACACATTGAGTATTAGCATTTTATAAAGGTCAATGTAAGAGTTGAAAAGGTTCAGAAAAGGGTAGAAAACTTTATCAGAGATGTGGAGATGTTCCCCTGTGAACAATAGGTACACACGCCAGAACTTTTCAGCCTAGAAAAAGAGATTTTAGGGAGAGGATTTGCTTCAAGGTCAGTTGTGATTCAGACTAAAGTTAACTTTTTTTTTGATAGGGTATTTTTTGTTTTCCCAAATCACAGTTTTGATTTCCTGCATGGCTCCATACATCAGTGAGTCAACATTAGTGCCTCTTTATGAAGCAGGCCATGACATAGGACTAAGAAGAGGAAGTTGAAGGTTGAGGGAACAAAAAACCCCAACCCCTTCTATCACTATTTTTGCTGAAGACTTTGTATTGTAAAACTGTGTCCCTGTTTCAAAGGGAACAGTTGCAGTTGGCAGGGACCTCTGGTTGTCATCTTGTCCAACCCCCTGCTAAAGAAACGCCACCAACTACCAGTTGCCTAAGACTGTGTTGAGGCATCTTTAGAGCATCCTCAAGGATGATGACTTCGTATCTCTGAGCAACCTGTGCCAATGCTCAGTCATTTACACAGTCAAAGTATTTCCCGGTGGTCAGAGGGATTTTGTGCCCATTGTCTCTTGCCCTGCCACTGAGGATCACTGAAAAGAGCCTGGCTCTGCCCTCTTTGCACCCTCCTGTCAGGTATTCACACATATTGATATGATACCCCCTCATACTCCTTCAGGATGAACAGCTCTCAGTCTTTCCTGGAGATGCTCCAGTCCCTTCATCATCTTCCTGCCCCCCCTCCCGTATACCCATGTCTCTCTTAAACAACAGTAAGCACAAAAGCCTACAGGAAAACACTGCTGAAGCCCCGGGGTTGAACCAGGGACCTTTAGATCTTCACTCTAACGCTCTCCCAGCTGAGATACTTCAGCCCTGCTGGGGCGCTGATCTTCACAATACCTGTTGCAATATAGAGATCCTTCAGACTTTTACTCTTCAAACTGGCTCAGTGGACACTTGGCTTTTGTCCTGTCACTGGGGACCACTGAAAAGAACCTGACTCCACCTTCTTTACACCCTCCCTTCAGATACTTATATAGGTTGATAAGCCCACAACTGAGTCTTCCCCTCTCCAGGCATTCCAAGGGACTGTGTGTGGCTGAACTACAAAGGATTGCAGAAGAGAGAAGTGCAGAAAGTGAGTGTCACCATTGTTACACACAGGTTGCCCTAAAGCCTGTCTTCTTCCCTAGATTGAGAAGTCTTTAATCTACAGTTTGCTAACAGCTGGGGGGATGAAACTGAGATATCATTCTGTGATTTTCTTCTTGACATTGTAGTCCTTTCCCCATATTCACTGCTGCCCAGTTTCTCATCTTAGTCTGCTGTGCAGAAGCAACATCCTCACAAATAATGCAGCCATACACTAGTGACAACCAGGGTAGGAAAACCCTTATAGCCTCTGGTATTTCGGTGGAGTTTGACCTGTCTGTTGTCCTGCAGGCAGTTGAACCATGTCTTTTGTCTCAATCACATCACAAGGACTCCATTCAGGCTGCTGAAATACATTCAGTACTACTTGTGATGCTTTAGGCTACACCAGCTATCCCACAGCTGCTACTCCAAAGGACTGTAGCCTTTCTTCATGACCCATATCATGTCTTTCAGCCCTGTAATGACAGTTTTAATGCTCTTGAGCTTCTTAACAGTCAACAGGTACCTAAGAAATTAAAATGTGCCCTCTTAGGTCAAACCAGTGGTCCATCTAGTCTGTTTTTTTCTCTCTGAAAATGGCTCAGGGAGATGCTCCATAGGAGATCATGTGAGTGCGGCTGCAGTCCATTCCCTTGTGCCATATTCAAGAAGTTGGAAGGAGCATCTCCACTTGGAGATCTCCACTGGATCTATCACCAATGCTTAAGCTGATGTTTAAACACATGGGCCAAACATCAGCTGTCAGAGACCAATAAGGTCAACAGTTAAATCTTTGTATAAGAATGGCTGTAGTAAATATATACACAAAATAGGGATAATTCTTAGAGCCACATTTTCACTAGAAACACCCCTCCAAGCAGGTTTTCTCAGGGGCTGGACTAAGGTGTCACTCCATAAAGCCTGTATCATCTATGCCCTGTTGGCTCTAAGTGAGTGGGCAACAAGAAGCCATCTGCAGGCTCTTCACAGGAAAGGGAGACTTGCCAAGTCAACTTATCTGGAAGCCTGGCTCAGCACTGACATAGCTCTACCCTTCCAGCTGTCCCATTTTTGCTTCACCAGCTTTCTCCTTGTCAAGGAAAGAGAGTGCAGAAACCAAAGCAGTTCTGTTTCTCACCAGCTTTCCTCAGACAGGAAGAAACGATCCCAAATGGGAACTGTGGGATTTGACAGCCCACTCTGCCTTGCTGGAAATACTCAAGCTTCAGCTGGGTACAAAATTCCTACTAAAAGATGTTCTACACTACTTTGCAAATGCTAGCAGCACTGGTGGAAAGGATGAAGTGAAGGATCCGATAAAGCACATGACTTGGAGGAAGTGCTACATTGCAGTTAAATTAGAAATCTCAGAAGCTGACTTTCTGGGAAGTTGACTTATTCAGATGGTGAAAACATCACAACTGAAAGTCTCTGAGCAAAGTTGTCAGGAGGAAGACTTTTGTTGCCAGTTTGACGTGTCATTTGGAAGAAGCTGGAAGCTTAAACTTCCTGTCATTGAAGGCAAGTAAGTTAAACCTGCCTTCTGGCTCAATTCAGACCTAAGGGCTGGCATTCCATAGATAGCTGTGCTATGGAGAGTGAATGAAGTGGATGGAGTGAAGTTGGGATGACTGCTCTGGTTGCCTCCTAGTCAGGTCAAAATTGCAGCTTTTAGCAGATGCTGCTGTTTTCAAGTCTTCAAGTCCAGGTTGGAAGGGGCTTGGAGCAACCTGGTCTAATGGAAAGTGTTCCTGCCCATGGCAGGGGGTTGGAACTGGATGAGCTTTAAGGTCCCTTCCAACCCAAACCATTCTATAACCCTATGAAAAATACTCTGTTGCCATGACACTTAGGTCTTTTCATGGGTTCCTCACGCCACTTGTGTGTTCTTTGCACCAGGGGATCTGTAGAGTGTGGACTGCACATACTCAAAGTTCCCTTTTGTCCTCTCTCATCTGCCTCCATTTCCCCTGCAAAAACTCCTGCTCCAATTTCATCTTGAATCGTGTCTGGTTTGGTTTGGCGTCCTCAACCCAGAAAGGATGTGAAACCTAACCAGTGGGAAGGTGTAATAGTCACTTCTGCACAGGGAATCGCTGCGTAGACAGTATTCAGTTTGAGGGAGAAAAAAAAAGGCTAAAAGGAAGGATAGCATAGGACCTAAAGAGGAGTTATTAGGGGTTCCTTCTGGTGAAGGAACTAAGGGTTAGCAGTTGAAATGAGCAAATGCCAAGCTCAGAACAAAGTAAAAGGAGGAGTTTCTTCACAGGAGATCTGGTTACCTATTCAACTCCGTGCCACAGGGCATTATAGAGCCCCAAAATATACAGGCATTCAAAATATGACTGGGCAGTTTTATGGAATAAAAACATCCATGAAGAGGGTGCAGATATGAAACTAGATACTTTTTGCTGTTATTATACTCTTTTACAGGTATTAGCTCATGGAAAATATTGCAGAGTGGGTTCTGAGCTAGATGCGCTTCTACACATCTTTCTGGCACCTCCTTATATTCATGCCCTGGCTTGAGACATCAGGATAAGTGTCAGCCTGTTAAACCATATTGGCACAATGTGCTGGAAGTGTTAATTCATGCCATCAACCAATTGTTTGATCTACCCCCCCCCCCCCCCCCAGGTGCTTGAGGCTTTGGCCATGTCAAACTTCTAGCAGGAGATCACTCTGTCCCCACTGTCCCTCCTCCCATTCTTCCAGTTTTCCTATCACACAGGGCTGATCTGCCTGTGCTTGTTTGAGTATTCATCTGGCATCAGCCAGATGCAGCTTCCAAACGTTATTGCATTGCATCCATGCAGAAACCTATCACTGAATGCTTATCCCAACAGCTGACGTGCCTGGCCATGTCAGGAGGCATGAAGCTGGCCTTTATGGGCCAACGTGGGTTCATCACCCCTTGCTGAGTGCCCTGTTCTTTTAAATGGGGGTCAATGCATCAACCAGATGGAGGTGCAGAGGAATGACCTTTGCTACCCAACTCAGCACCACCAGATTTGTCACAAATCTTAGCTTCCATTGCAAAATTCCTGGCACAAACCATGCCACTGATGGGATTTTGCCCTGTTTCTCCACTCTTCATCCAGCTATCTGCACCAGGGGAGTGACAGAAAACTGCAGGGTTGAGATGCTCTTGCTTTTCACCTACTGACTTGGCTCTGATGTGTCAAATAAAGCACATGTTCCTCCTTTAGGTTTCCTGATGTTTTTCTGTCTCATTACACTGAGTGGGCTTCTGGTTTACTTGAAAAGCAGTTTTAGTGATTATCTCTATTTTGCTGTCGCTATTTTCTCTTCTTTCTCCAGACTTTTCTGAAAATGACCTAATTAAGAGCATGGAACTCCTGTTTCTGAGAAAAAAAAAAAAAAAGGTTCCTTGAGGTTTGCAAAGGTCTCCCAGCAGGAAAGTTGACTTGTCTCCATTTTCCCTGCAGTTCAACAGACCCCCAAGTGAGCCCATTAGCAAAAATGGGCCACAAAATATGCAACAGCAGCAGCAGTAGCTCTGCAATGTAAGGCTCCAGTAGGCAACAAACTATGTTTGCAAACCTCATCTTTGATGGTAGTTTCATATGTTAGGGAAAGGGTGAAATAATGGCACAAAGGGGACTGTGGGTGCTCACTACCTACTGCAATAGCTGTGAGGGGTGTACTAAAGAGGGTGGAATATGTGGCCTGAGATAACTCAATTGTTATGCTGGAGACATAAATGCATCTTTGAAAAACAGAGTTAATGAAGCCTGGCTGCCAGACTGTGCTTGCTACACAGCCCTTTCCTGCTCCCTCCTTAAGTGTGATGTGTAAAAGGTGCTGATATTGCAAGCCCATCCTTCAGTGGGGGGGTCTCACTAAGGGGTTCTTTAAAACTTTCCTTTAAGGTTTGGCTCTTAAGAATCCAAGCTATGAATAACAGCACTGCTGCACCTATGAGCACTGGGCTTAAAGCATGTACCTTGGACAGAGGGATGCAGTCTGTGGTCCTGCTGCTGCCTAGGAGAAATGATCTGCATGCAAGTAATATCTGCAATGTCTGCCCTATAGCAAAATGCCCTCAGACTCACTGATAGGGAGACACAGAGAGAAGAACAAAACCTTACCTGGCATTTAAGTTCACCCCAAGTCTGAATCACTCTTTTTCTGAGAAAACTCTGTTTCAGTGTTTGCTCTAGTGACTCTGTTACGTAAAGAGAGAAACCTGATTGATCTTGGATGTGTTTCACTCAGACTGATGGGGCAATTTGGAAAAGCAGAGGTCTGTGTTCATCCAATTCTTGTTTTCAGACAAAGGAAGGTATTTGAGACAGAACTTTCTAAGCTTTAGGAGGGTATCCCAGCTACAGTGCAGATAAGAGGGCAATAACCGTCTCCTTGGTTGTGTCCTGCATGGACCCAGGCTGACCAGACAGCAGGAGAACAGCTAGTCTGAGAGCTTTGTCTTGGAGCTAAGCACTGAGAGACGCAATTTTGTGCCATTTACTGAATATTGCAGTGCTGCAGTTATGCTCAGCACACAAGTCCTATTGCTTTTCCCAGGCTTAATAACATTTGCAGCTCCTGCTCTGCCTCCACAAACTCGCAGTGCACTGTGCCTTCTTTCGAGACGGTTCGCCCACTGCCATTCCGACCCATCTGAACTTCAGAAGGACAAACCAAATGCATTCGGGAATCACTTCTTTAATAACTTTCAATAGACCAAAGCAACCAAATGGTTACTAAGAAGGCA